GAAGCACAGTAAAATGTCCACGCACCCAGTGCCCAGGTAAAGGACTAGAACACCACTTCATCAGCCCATTTTCTTGTTTGCCTTCTCTGTCTCCTGTCTCATCCTCACACCTAGAGGGGGTCCTCTCTCCAGTTCAGAGTCTACCAGCCCGTATGTCCATATATAACCTATATAACCCCCACCCACCCCAAACATGCACTGTTCAGCGAATCCAAGAAGTGTTTCTGGCTTCTCTGCTGTCTAGTTTGCTCACTTCTGCGCTTCGTGAAAATGCAATCATCTTTGTTTTCTAGCACCATTTTCTGTTTCTGAGATTTGCCCTCCATGTGGCTGTCCTGTGTTCATTTTTATAGCTGCATGCCATTCCAGTCTATCCATTCTCCCATTGTTAGATTTTTGTCACTCTTCTGAGGTGATGTCTTCATTGAATTACAAGTCATGCTTTCTAAATGTCCTTTCCTGTATCTCTGAATGCCCAGGGACATCTGGGCATTCATGGGACATGAATGGGACCTGCTGATATATAGATTTATCCAGAGAATTAAAAAATTGTTTTCAAAGATGTGTATCATACTGTTTTATGTTCTCACTTAACTGGAGCATTACCTAAGGATTTTATTCTTGGCAATCAGAGTACACAAAATATCACCTCATTGTGCTCCTGGGTTTCATGTCTCCAGTTCTTAACCACATGAGCATAGGGTTTTACCAACACTACAGCTGCTTTGTACAGTCAGTGTCTTTGTGATTTTTGAGGTCTCTCTCAGTGCCATGAAGACATAGTTTTCATTTATTTGGGTCTTCTTTACTGCTGCACACCAGAATTTTCTTGACATTAATCTAAGGTAACCATTGTCAGATACACATACATTCTACATAGAGAGTTGTTCGTGATAATGGTATCATTTTTACTTTTAGGTTGTGCTTTTTTGTTTGTTTGTTTGTTTGGTTAGTTGGTTTTGATTTTTTCAAGACAGAGTCTCTCTGTGTAGCCCTGGCTGTCCTAGAACTCACTCTGCAGACCAAGCTGGCCTTGAATTCAAAGAGATTTGCCAACCTCTGTCTCCAGATTGCTGAGATTAAAGGTGTACATCACCACACTCCGTTTAGGGAGAATATTCTTTATTAAATATTTTCTATGCTATTTTATTAATGGTGGACTTTTCTGCTCCTAAAAAATTCTAAAATTTTCTTAAAACTCTTTAAAGTGACCTGCACACTCCCACCTCATTTAGTAATGAAGCTTTTAACGACTTGGCTCCATCTGTTGGAAGGTTCCGGGCTTTTCCTGATTTCCGTTCCTCTCGAGTGTTTCAGGAAGTTATATTTTCCTGAGATTCTGTTCACTTCCCCCATTTTTTATATCTATTGGCCTATAATTGTTAATATTGCCAGTATTGCATGATTGGAGTTTTCTGTATTCATATTCTCACTTAACTCTTCATAGCCTATGTTTTTAAATTCTGTTTTCTCTTTTAATCCATTCTTTGAAAAGCTTGTCATATTATTAGTTTTATTAGAAAAAGAAACTTTAGAGCTTTGTTGGTCCTTCCTCTGCTGAGTCTTTCATCTCTGGTTCATTATTTTATGTTTTCATATTTTATTTATTGTTCCCTTTGTGAAGGGGTGATGGGGAGAGAAAAAGCATGTTAGGTTTTATCATCTTGCAACACTGGCTATGCAGCTTTTTTTCTTTTTCTCTGCCCTTCTTTTTTTTTTTCTCTACTGAGATAGCATCCTGCTGTATAGTCTTGGCTAGTTTGGTATTTGTGACCCTCCTGCCCCTTTGTCCTGAGTGCTGGAACTACAGACACACAATACCATGCAATCTCTTGCATTTATTTTCAGCTTTTGCATTTACATATTTCCTTCTAATTAGTAACCCTGCAATTCTATGAAATCTAATATGTAATGTTTTCATCACCATTCATCTCCAGCTGCTTTTGACCTCAGAGTCACTTAAAAACGTTTTTTTAAATTTCCAAATCCTCTGAACTTCAGCTGCTCATTACTATAAGTCATTATCAAGACTCAGCTGTCCTGTGCTAAGGAAAACGACCTGTATGTCACTCATCCTGTGACATTTTAAAGATTTACCTGGTAGACCACGTGTGGCCATTTTGGGTGGTTAGAGGTGAATGTGAGCCTAGTGACTCTAATCACTAGGTGACGAGCTCTGAGTCAATCTAACAGTCCACCTGTGTGTCAAATCTTCCTCGTCTTTATTTTTGCAAATATCCCATAACACTGGCAGCTTGATAGTTCCTTCCACCTTGCACTGAAGGAACACATGGCAGAGTTGTGGGCACAGAAGGAAGGTAGGAGACTCCCTGGCATGAACGAGTTGGAGGTGAAGCAGCAGCTTGGGTACAGGGCAAAGCATCATGGTTACTGAAGCCAGACCCCCTCTGCTCTCTGTGAGGTGACCACTCTAGCCTCAGGCAAGTTCTAGTCCATTCCAGCCTGTTGCACCCGACCCTATGTGAGCTGGGCCAGGGTTTGACTCCTTCATTAAGTAGTCATGATGCTGAGCCCAAGCTATGTAGGGCACCAGGAGAGGTTCTGGTTTCTGCTCTCACACACTCACCAGCTAGCGCAGTGGGAGCCACCATGACACCTGTGATAGCCACAGCCACAGGATATTCATGACAGACATATAGGATAGGGCACCTGCTCATGCTGGGAACAGCATGCCGCACCAGAAGGGCAAAGGCTCCTAGCAGGCATCTTGGGGCTCTGTGCAATGTTTTTTTTTTTTTTTTTTTTTTTTTCTCCCGTCTAACAGCCAATGGGCTTCAATTCTCTAGCTCAGGAAGTGAGGGCACGTGAAAAGCAGAAGTTGCCCCAAGCTGCTTCCTTCCTGGGTAGTACCAAAAGGTCATGCCCTGGGAGGAGGAGCTGGTGGCAGGCTGGTGTCTGTGTTAGTTTGCCATGTGGAAACACTTGAAGTTTGGTTGCCAATATTGGAAAATGAATGTGCTTCCATCAACATAGAACCATGTGATCCATCTTGATACCAGGTCTCCTGGAACTGGAGTTTCAGGTGGTTGTAAGCCACCATGTGGGTGCTGGGAACTGAACATGGGTCTTCTGTATGGGTAGTTAGTGCTATTAACCACCAAGCCATCTGTCAAGCTTTCTTACAGAATTCTCAGAGTAGGTGATGTATTTTTCCTATACACCATTAATAAGAAGGGTTAGTTTTAGGTTCATACGTGTTTGGAGAAACAAGTGTGGGTATTTTAATTGTTGTGGTCTCGGGGCTTTGGGCATGCCAGCCAAATGCTCTACCACTGAGCTGCATACTCAATTATTGTTTTTTTTATTTTTATTTTTGAGGTAGAGTCTCACTATGGAGCCCAAGATGGCCTGAAACTTTCTAAGCTTCATGTAGTCTCACACTGGACTATATAATAAGACCATATACATTTGTTAATATGTGTGGAGGTGGGAGGATAGAACATTGCTAAGACACACAAAATTCTGCAAAGTACATTGCTCATGATGCAGCCTCCTTTTCTTCATGCCCAGAAGAAGCAAAAGCTACTACACCAAAGGATATAAAGGACATCTATCTACCACGGTAGGCTGTCCTCCTCTGTTTAGACATCTGGGTCTCTGACAATTGTCAAAGGCAGGCAGGAGAGTGGCCCAGGCTGCTGACTGAGTGGTTAGAGCCCAGTGCTCACACACACCTCTGTGTAGACTGTGGTTTGGTTTCTTCCTCTGTCAGAGTCTGGTCAGTATTAATAGTCAACACAGGAGGCTGGGATGGAGTCAAGTAACTGTCACAGCAGTTAGAAACTTAGAAAGCACCAGCCCAGGAGGAAGTGCTGCTGTAGATGGTGGCCACTTATAGGCTTGACAGGGGAGCCCAGTGGGTGGCTCACAGTCTGTCAGCTCAGCTGGAGGTTCTAGACTTGCCATTATGTGGACTGCTTACCCACTGTATTTGGAGCTTCAAGTCAGCTAGCTGAGCCTGAAAAGTCTGCCCTGAGTTAGCTCTGAGAACTTAAATGGGAAGCCCAGCACTCCCTTCTGGCAGTGTGAAAATGTGCAGCACACCAACTGCAGAGATGTCACCATGTGGGTGACTATTATGAGCAGGAGTCAGGGATTATCCTTCGTATTCCTGCCCTTGCAGACAGCTAAACATCCATGAAAGTGTGAGGTGGGGTCCACCATTTATCTATGAACAGATCCTGCTATCTGCGATATGGTAAGGAACAGGCATTCTTCTTTATCACGGGTTCCTTTTAGAAACCATTTTGACACCCACGTTTCATCATTTCCAACCCACTTTACAATCCTTATCTATTTTTGTGTGGGCATCTGAAATTGTTACTCAGCTGGGCCTGGTTGCACACATCTGTGTGATAAAGGCCTTAGAGAGCTATTGTGCATTTAAGTCCAACCTGGGCTATACAATGAGCTATCTCTGGGGGAAAAAAACCTGGCATCAAGGATGTAGCCCAGAGGAAGTCTTTGTCTCATGCCGGAGGTCCTGTATTTGTTCCTAAGAGCACAAGAAACCAATAACAGAGCCTGTCATTCTCAGAGGAGAATAAAAGGCCTCCCCAGACCCAGACACTCCTGTGGTGTGAATGCAGAGTCAGGGTTGAAGGGGAGGTTGCAGTGGCAAACACTACAGTTCCAGCCCTAGGGGCTGAGAGGCTACTCAAGGTCTAGCTTTCTGGACACAGCAGGTCAGGAGATATCATCCTTTAAAACCTCACAACAGGGGTCTCTGGGCAAGAAACCCACCTGAAGTGACCCCTCAGTCTTAGAGCTATAGGAAGGGAGCCAGAAAACTTACCACAGCAAATGCTTCAGCCTCCAGTGGTCGACCCTCAGCAGCAAACTCCCTCCCTCCCACCAGCAGCAGGCAGAAGCCAAGTAACAGGGACTTTCCTCAACCTTGTCTGCAAAGGGCCAAGAGGAACCCACAGCCTCTGACTGCCACTGCAGCTTCCTTCCTTGTCAGTCACGTGGGACTTGGCTCCCATCCCCAGAGCCTGGGGTCATAAGGCTCACTTGCCTGATCTCTCAGGAGCCAGGACAGAACACCACAATGAGCTCTAGGCTCCCAGTATTGAGAGCCCTCCTTTTCCTCTTGGGTAAGTAAAGGCAGGTGATGGAGATGGGGTGGGCCTTACCTTTGCCAGCCTGGGAGCCTAGTGAGCATAAATTGCAGGCCTAATAGCCTTGGGCTTCACCTCTGAATTGTGACACACCCCTCAGGATAGATGGAATTTGCTTACTTGGGTGGGATAGTGAGCAATGTCTCTGTTTCATTTCAGATGCTACTTACAAATAGATGTAGAGTGGGCTGGTGAGGAGGGCTGGTGCAGAGGAAGAGTGCCAGGCTATCTAAGAATGGTCTGCTTCGATGTGCCTTTGGCTTTGTTCCTTACAAACCGGGATGTGCTTCTGACACTTGGAGTTTCAGTTTCTGACCTAATGAAATGGAAAATAATATGTTTACTTCATAAGCTTGCAGGAGAATTGAGTTAAACTTAAGTGACCCAAATCAAGATAATTGCATAGCAGAGATAGACAGGTGGTGCTGCCCCATTCCGGGTGACTGTGTGTGGAGTGGACCCAGGAGCATCTTTAGTTTTAGAAATCACCTTTATTGCTAAGCCCTGAAAGGTAGAAGGATGGAGAGAGGCAGGGGTAAAGTGGTCCCAACAGGAAAGGAAAACAAAAAAACAAAACAAAACAAAACACCAGAGATGCATTGAGAGGAGGAAATGTGGAGAATTGGAGAGAAGTTCAGCAAGACTGCTAGAAATTTGCAGAGATGTGGACAGCAGTGATGGGGAGAAGTGCTGCTTTGCAAATGGACGCCAACTGTTATTTCTTTGAAAGGCAGCTATGCTCACATCTAACAGCACACCACTGTTGCTTCTTTGGAAAGGCAGCAGATGCCTTTTACAGAAAACTAAACAAAACTGAAAGTCAAGCAGACTGCCTCCTAACGGTCTCCTGTCTCTGGAGGTGTGGCCTGAATCCTGAACATAGACAGAAAGATTCCCACAGCTGGCCTCCATGGTTGCCTGTGCCAGGCAAGGACAGCACAGACATGGGGCTTGGGAATTAGCATGTCAAGACAGGCACCACGCATCTAAACGTGGATGTGGGTCTCTGACAGTGACAATGAGATAGCAGGAACCAGTGAACAGTGAATGAAAGTGCTCAGGGCAGCTGAACTCAGTGTTCCCACCGAGCAAAGGGCCAGAAGCCAGCAGGGTCTCTAATTTCTACTTTGGGCAACAGAAATACAGACTGGTCTATCCCAGGGAATTGGAGAGGGAATTGTGGATTTAATAAAACCAATGAAAAAAGTCAAATTATACAAATAGACAATTCATTGAAGAATTGAAGACAATGAGCTTTGAAGATGCTCAGGTTGACAAATCCTATATGAGGTGATAACATGCAGCATGTTTTGGTGCTTTGTGGGTGGGAAGTGCTGGCCAAAGCTTACCTTAGCTCAGTCAGTTCCCACAGCTATATGGAAAGCCACCTTAGGTACTGTGATCTCTGGGTGCCTTTTCACACTCTGTGGCCCAGGCATCCCGGCCTTTAGTGCTTTCACGAAACAGTGAGGACCATGGGGTTAGTTCTAGACTTCCAGAATGTTGCTCTTCTCTGATCTTTGCCTTCCCTGTGCCAGTCTCCTCATCTGTCAGTTTCGGCTAATGATCTATGCAGCTTCCCATGGCTGTTGAGAGAATTAACCCTGCTGCCTGCCACCTTCTGTTCTCTTAGCTCAGTGTGTACTCACAGTGTACACTTAAGATTAGCCATTAGAGGGACTTGCTGATTCAACTTCACAGAGACTTTCAGGGGAAAAACAAGCTGGTCACAACTTTTGGTACAGAAATTCCAGATCGAAGAATTTACCCTATTGAAATACTGGGGTAATAGCTTCCCAGGGTGTTTAACCGAATGTTGCTCTGCACAGAGGAATCACAGTGAAGGGATTGCTCAGATAAGATTGGTCAATGCCATGTCTACGGGACTTGGCTTGTTGTTGATGACACAGGAAGGCTCACTGTGGGTGGTGCCACCCCTGAGCAGGGGGTCCGGGTTGTATCAGAAAGCTGACCCAGCATGAGGCAGAAGCTAGCCAATAAGCCTCTTGTTAGTGAGTTGGTTGTAGTCATGGTGTTTATAACAGCAACAGAAGAGCAAAATGAAACATTGTCTAAGAAACATTTTTAAAACTCACCTTATTTAAATGGACTTCATTATTCAAGAGCAGTATTTGAAATGTGTTTGTGTGTGTGTTTTAATGAAAAGGCAGAGTTTTAGTTTCCTGTATGTAATATAAACACCCCTAATATTTGCTTTAGAGTCTTTCGTCTACAACCTCTTTGCAATGCTGCTTCCATTCAGTCCATACTTAGTAGAGATGTGAACTGCCTATTCGGGGCCATGGTTCTGGAGTTGTCTATATTTGAATACTGTCATGCTGGTTTAATAAATATCTTATGAGTCTTTGTCACTTATCAGTAAGGCTGCACACTCTGCTCTCTGCTGTTAGACTCTTACTGACTGTGAGCACTCTTTCCTATTTCTCTGGGACTTTTCCTGAGAAGCATGGCGAAGGCCACTCCCTAAAAGCTAACCCCACGTGGTGCTTCCCTAAGAACCACACTATGGGCCTTGTCCATCTCTCAAATACAGCACCAATAGGGCTGTTCCTGTAGTCATCCCCTTTTGGACAGAGGAGGAAAAAGAAGCACACAATGATAAAGCAGCCTCTCAGAGGTCATAGAGCAGGAAAGTGGCAGAGCTCAGGTTCAAATTGGGACATTTTGATGCCTCAAAGCCACATTTTCAAAGCTAGCAGCAAAGCACCTCTCAGCTCAGTATGGAAAGGGTGTCACTCTCATGGTTTTTAAACTGCCTTGTTTAAATTTCCATTCTAAACTTAAAGAAAGGCGCAGACAATGAGTATGTTGACCATCGAGAACAGTTCACCCATTTTCTTTATCTGTATTTCTTTCTGTGTGTCTTATTCTATAAACTATTTGAGGCCAAACTGTATAATATCAAGGGTTCTCTTTAACCCCTACATTCATCAATGTGTGTTTACCAAGACTAGGGACAGGCTCAGCTGTGTGGATGGAGCTGGAAGGGACATCATCTAACACAAAGAATGCCAGGTACAGAGACCTGATGCCACACGTGACCACACCTGAAGACTCTGAAAGAGTCATCATAAAGGGCAGAGCAGTGGGTGGGGGTTTAGAGAGGGGCTGAAGAATAGAAACAGTGCATTTTCTTGGGAGGAAGTGGTGCTAGTGTCCCACAACGTGACAGGGTGACTGCAATCTGCAGCTATCTGTGGAGTATTTCAGCATAACTAGGGGAGTGCTGGGGTTCCAGTACAGGGACATGAGAAGAGGGAACAGGACTGCCAGTTTTCCCTACCTGACCATTGCTCATTGTATATGTGTGTTCAATCATTATGCTATAAACACATGCAAACATCACATGTTCCATCATTATGCCGCATTCTATAAATACATGCAAACATAACGTGTTGATTGAAAATGAAGACTGAATATATCCCCTTACACAGCTATAATACAGTCATTAGCCTTAGGAACTATAGTGTTAATAAAATACTTTAATCATCTGAGAACCACATTTCAATATTTCCCACAATGGTTGTTACCACCTTGATGGTGCTGCCTGGGGTAGCTTCATCACTTGAGCCTTCTATAGGCTGGGGTATGCATGGTCTTGGTTTTCAGCCCAGTGATGTTTTTAGAGTACATAGATAGCTTCCTGTCAAGCCCCACCCTGTGACAACAATCATTTTGGGGTTGCCTGATACTCCCTAATGATTACACTTAAGTGATCCACTTTTCTGTCAAAAAGCTACATGGCCAATGCCGTTATCCTCAGCTTTGTAGGTGGAGGTGCAGATTGCATGAGAAAGGCTGAAGAACTGTTGACCTTATGATAAAAGGCTCAAAAAACTAGTTCTTGGACTATGGACACCAAAACCTCTACTTAAATACCAGGTGATGAATATTTTTAAGTTGTGCTAAAATATTGATCAAGGATAACCATTGGTAATATCTAGTAAAAGTCCTCAGCATTTTATTAGAGGTCTGTTTCTTCTGAACGTGCTGCTGTAAGAAACACTCCCACGGACTTGAATTCCAGCAGAAACGTCAGCCATCTGTCTTTGTTTTAACAGTGTTGGAAAGCATCTGCAGAATTCTATGTATTATTATAATCATGAGAATAAAAGGAATACGATATCACTTTAATTACATTCCAGGGCCTAAAACATCCTTCACTGGAGGAGCCAGGGTTATTGAGAGAGAGAGAGAGAGAGAGAGAGAGAGAGAGAGAGAGAGAGAGAGAGAGAGACTTTTTCCCCCCACTGCCTTAATTTATAATGAAAAGATGGCAGAGGCCGGGGTAAAGAGAATTAAATTCGTTTTTATCTTACAAAGTCAAAGTCATCACTTTATTCCTTGGCTCTCAGTCCCTGAGATCTTTGTGCGAATCTTTGCTGACAGCTTTTCCCCTGTTCCAGTCTCTTGCCAAGACAATGTTTTAGATTCTGCGGTGAGGAAATGTATGTGAGAAAGAATCAGAGTGTTTGTTCTCCTTTGCTGCCTACCAGATCATTACTAGGAGACAAAAGGAAACCATCCCCGAGGAGGGCCTCTTAGCCAGTGGGAGGGCAGTGGGAAGAGAAGAGCCTGGACAGGTGGGCAGGGCTGGGTTCTCCACAGAGCAAGAATGCAGGACTAGCTTTAGGGATTCATCCCTTTTTCTAACTGGATTACTCCCTGGCTACAGTTTTTTTTTTTCTTTGTGGTTGGTTGCTGGATTTTACTGTTGACTTCCAGGTGTTCTTTGAATCATTTAGATGTGCAAGTGCCACCTGCCAAATCTGTGGCTGAAGAATGAATTGGATATTGTAAAATCTTACTGTTTTGGTTTTTATTTTTTAAGTTAAAAATTTGAGACAGGTTCTCACTATGTAGCTCTGGGTGGCCTAGAACCTGCTATGTAGATAGATTAGGATAGTCTCAAACTCGCATAGAGATCCATTTGCCTCTGCCTTCAAAGTAGGGAG